ATCAGCTGGTGGAGGATTTTATCAATGAGAGACCCGATTCAAGACTTACATTGCTACATAGCAGCAGCAACATACTGAGAACATTATTCGCCTACAGCACCAGCACGACCATGATATGTCATGGTTTGGAGAGCAGTTCACCACTCTTTTGAGTTACTTTTAGCCACATCCACCACCACCACCTCCTCATTCAGACGATCAAGGGCCATCCTTCTTTTAGTTTGCTTGTTTTCATGTGATGTTGTCTTTTCTTTTCATGTTATTTTTGTTGTTTTTTTGTTATGTTTCTTTTTTCCTCCTCCTTTTTGTGATGTCAAAAGGAGAGTAGTTGTAATAGTTTGTTCTATTCTAGTCTTATTTCACTATTCTAGTTTGTTATGTTTTTATGTTGTTTAGTTAAATTATTTACCTAAGCACTGATTTGAACTGCTTCAATTATTTTTGTGTTTTGTCATCATCAAAAAGAGAGAGATTGTTGTGAATCTATTTTTCAAGGAATTTGATTTTGATGATAGAAAATTTTTTTGTTTCTCTACGACTATCTTGCCTTCTAACATTTTAGGTCCATAAGATCAGACTGTAATTTGAACTAGCTCAAGATTGGGTAGACTAGGTCTGAGTTAGTTTGTAACATTTTTTCCTTTCTTGAGTATATTGTAATAGATATGGTTCATGATGCTAAGTAACCTTGCACATACACACACACTTGGAGAAATTTTTCTAACTATTTTTAGAGTTTTCTATTTTTGCTCGCATCCTCTGGGATGATCCAATAATTATCCTGGACGATCAGTTGAAAATAAAAACTCTAATTAGGGCATCCTAGTTAAGGCAGTCGTCATTAAGCATATCGTCTTGGATGATATTTGTATCGACCAAGATGATAGTCTCAAATCAGAAAGAATAAGTCGCCAGATTTATTTAGGTATTAGTTATTTTTGGACATCATCTTGGACGATGTAATGTAATTATGCCTAAATTAATCTTATAATTAAAGAAAGCAATTAAGGCTTGATTGATTCGATCACATTGTCTCGGATGATCACAGGATCGGTCAGGACAATCAGTTCAAAAACCTTAGTTATTCCTTGACGATCACATATCGGACAGCTTCTATTCAGGGTGATATTCTTGACAATTTTCATGGATTTGAACTAATCGTCCGGGACAATCGTGAGATCGTCCCGAACGATCAAGCTATTTTTTAATCGTCTAGACATCCCTTCAGTGCAATTATCTGGACGATATTCTACAATTTGTACAAATCGTACAGAACAATAGTTTATCATCCTAGATGATATGAAAAAATTCCTTCTGATCGTCCCAGATCATCCTGACTGATTAAGCTTAAATTGCACTGGTCATATAAGACGATAAAGTCGGCAAGTTATAATTAATAAGCAATTCAGAAGCTCTTATATTTAAGAGCTCTTGTTCTACTCTTTAGAACATCTGTTTCTATTTTTTTGACCTGAGAGAGCCAAGAGAAGAGGGACAGCAAGGGAGAGAGAAGAAGGATATATTGAGGGGGAGTTTGTGAGGGCATTCACAAAGGTTGCTCCAAGCAAGGATCTATCATCATCTTCTCCAGTCATTGTCCTTAGTTTTTTGTGGGTCCTATAGAGGTAAACTTCAGCATCTGATCAAGGTTCTCTTTCTGCTTCAGGAGGAAGCAAAAGGAGTTAGGTTTTCTGCCTGCTTCTAGAGGAAGTAAACGGAGTTGGGTTCTCTGCCTTACCTAGGTTGGTGGAAAGGAGGTTTGTAAAGGCTTCTCCTCCTTACTGTAGAGAAAAAGGAGAGACACTGAGTTTAGTGCAATACTCGGAGGGTGCCTCTGAGGAGTGGACGTAGGTCATGTTGACCGAATCACTATAAATTTTTGTGTTCTTTATTACTGCTTCTAAATTTAGTTTCCGCACTTTGATTTCTATAGTGAATCTTGGTTTTTTTTTTTAAGATTATATTTTGATCGAAATATTTTTTAAAATATCAATTCACCACCCCTCTTGGTTAGCCTTGGGACCAGTTCATAAGGGCTTAACATCCCTAATGAACTTTTTAGTCCCATCAGAGCACTTTCACACTTGAGTTCGTCTAAGAAGCTCTTCAAAATTAAAGAAGCCCACTGGAGAATCGTTGCAGCAATAACTTGTTGAAGTGTAGTTGTTTTCATAGAAGTTACATATGGAGCTCGGTGGCCAATGCAAGGACTTGACTATGCATGCAACTTGATATTGTGAATAAAAAAATTGTTGGAGGACTTGTCAGCCTTAAGAATTACTTTAATAAAGAAACGTTATAAAAGCAGCATTGAAACAATAATAAGGAAATGACATGAGTCATACTTGAACAAATTTCAAAATCATTTTTAATGGACATAATATATTTAATTTTTTTCTCCAAATTTTTAAAAGGAAAGCAACACATTAGTTGCATATATTTTAATTTTTTTTAATTTTTTTTTAAATGTGAGTCATCTCGAAAACCAACAAATGGTGTTTCATCAAAATCAAACTTGAGCTTGTTTAGTATTTGAGCTAGGCTCATTTATACCCTTATGTAACATTAATCGATAAGTAGACTTTCCTATTTTCTCAATAATTTTGAAGGGGCTAATAAATCTTTGGCTCAGTTTGATACTTCTTCCAAACCTATTGACACCTTTCATTGGGCTGACCTTCAAGAAAATAAAATCACAAATTTTAAATTTAACAGTGTTATGCCTTAAATCATAATAATTCTTTTATTGATATTAGGTTACTTTTAATCTCTTCTTGATCAATTTAATTTTCTCTGTAGTATCCTAAACTAATTTAGGCCTAATCAATTTTCTCTCTTCTACTGCAGTTCAAGCTAATGGTGTATTACTTCTTATACCATACAAAGCTTCATACAGAGCCATTCCAATATAAGATTGATAGTTATTATTATAAGCAAACTCAATCAATAAACTGTAATCCTTTCAGCTTCCTCCAAAATATAATACACATAATGTGAATATATCTTTCATAATCTGAATAACCCTTTTAGTTTGACCATCTACTTGGGGATGAAAAATTACCCTGAAATTCAGCTGTCTCTAAGCTATCTTAAATTTCCATAATCTAGAAGTAACCATACCATCTCAATTAGAAATATTAACCTTAGGGACACTGTGCAATCTGAGGATTTCTTTTACCTACAACTGAACCAACTTATCTATAGATTTAATCTACCTTATACATAGAAAATGAGCAAACTTAGCTAACTGGTCCACAATCAATAACATATCATTATGATGTTGCTTTGATATTGAAAAACGTAAAGAAAAATTCATCATATTTTCCCCCATTTTCGCTCCAGAATGGATAAAGACTATAATAATATGGTAGGTCTCTGATGTTTTGCTTTCACTATTTGTCATGCCTTGCATTTAGACACAAATTTTGCCATGCCTCACTTTATCCAAGACCACCAAAATAATAACTTTATATATTGATATATCTTATTATTGTCTAGATGAATGATGTATCCAGAATAGTGGGCTTCATGTAAAATTTCTTCCCTCAATCCACCACTACCTGGAACCCATAACTTATTGCCACAAAAAATCCTTCCCTAGTCATTTACTATTAATTCAAATTTCTTCCTAGACTAAATTTGATATAATAACTTCACAAATTATTTATTTTTTTATTGAGCTTCCTTAATTCTATCTGGTAATGAGGGCTGAACAATCATTAGAGAAACTATTCTATTAAGCACATCAGATGAACACAATACTTCCATGTCTAACTTCTCCATCTCTCGAATCTACGCTTACTCATGAGTAATAAATCTAATGCCTTCCTACTTAAAGCATCAATAACCGCATTTTTCTTACCTAACTAATAAATGATATCCAAATCATAGTCCTTACAACTCCAAGTTCCTTCTCTGCCTCAAATTTAACTCATTCTTAGTGAAAATGTATTTCAAACTCTTCAGATCAATATAAATGTTGAATTTGACACCATAAAGATATTATCACTAGATCTACAATGCAAAGATAATAGTTATAAGCTCCAGATCATAAGTTGGGTAGTTCCTCTTATGTGGCTTTGGCTACCTAGAAATATAAGCCACCACTTTTCCATTTTATTACATCACATATCAAAGCGATTCAAAGAAGTATGAACATACACATAAAATTAGTCAGTACTCAAGAAAAAGTCAGTACAAGGGCTAACTATAAAAGCCTAAAAAATGATAAACTAAAATTATATTTGAACTGGAGAGCTTCCGTGATGAGCTTGTGAACGATACCACGCTAGGCCTGTGAGCACAAACGCATTAAAAGTTGTCTTTGTGACATTAGATCCTTTGTTATACCATAACTTTACATTCAATATGTAACATTGTAGCACTGGGTAATCGTGTTATGGTGTTACACACTAATATATATATATATATATATATATATATATATATATATAGTAAGTATGAGAGTCGCCTTCAACTAGTTTCATTAATTAAATAAAATGAGTGTAAGTGTTATAAAAAGAATAATTAAGAAAATTATTTTTACAGTATAAATCTATACTAATATATAAAACCTATGCGCTTAGCCAAATCAACGGCACACATAGCTTAATGACGTCGCATTCCCATCGCAACCCTTCGTATTCCCACCATTCCACATTCTTATTCTTCTGTTTCGCCCTAAGGGGTTTCCTTCTTAACGCAGCCGCCATCGCAACCTTCTCTTAGCTAAATTGCGAGCTTCGCATTCTCCCGCCATCGTCTTCTTCTTCTATTGCAACATTTTGTTTGATGTTTGTTCTCCTTCTCCTGTGAATCGGAAGTCACGACGGGAACTCGCATCGACTTCGCGTGTTTCGCGTGAAGGAGAGTTTTGAATTAGTTGCTTGCAGAGAGCTGGCCGTGAAGTAACGATCTTTTTCTCCTTGCGCTTCTTCGACTGTTCTCCGCTAAAGAAGCTTCTTCGCCTTCTTCTACGACGTTGTTCATGTTCGGTTGGAAGTTTCGTTGCTAAGGTAGCGATCTTTTTCTCCCTGCGCTTCTACGACTATTCGCTGCTAAAGAAGTTTCTTAGCCTCGGTGATTTTATTTCATAGCCTCAAACATCGCAATCGAAGCAGTGATCTTTTTTCAGTTTGCACGTCGTTCTCCCCTCGTGCGCTCTACTGTCGTCAGCCTCTCCAACCAGCACCTACATGCGTGACCAGCCAACCACCTTCAACTGATTCACCTGCTGACCTTGCAATACATGAAAGATTTCATCAGGCATATGTAGCCTGAAAATTGAAAGGTAAATGATGAATTGTGAAAGTTTCTTTGAGGGTGGTAGAATAGGCTAATGAGGCCTTAAACCTTAGAATTATGCATATTCTAGATTGTTGAAGAAACTTGAGGACTAGGACTTATGACATTATTACACCAATTACATCAGGCTTAAAATATCAGACTTGCATCATTCTTGGTGGCGAATACCACTGACCCTCTTGGTCCCAAGTGAAAGAGAAGGTTGATTAGTTAAACATAGGTAGCTAGCTTGAGAAAAGGCATGTATATGATATATTATTTTTTATCGATCATTAGGTGAGTTTTTGACTACAAATAGACTCATTAGGTCAAGATATGAATTATGCATCAGCATGTCCAAGGCTAATAGGTAGCATGTTTATGTTTAATATAATGACCCAATGCTATCATGTATTTTTTCTTGATTTAAAAGATCGATTAATTTTAATTGCATGTTTTAGAAGTGAACTACAATCCTCAAATTCTATTTATCTACGTAGATAAGCAAGGTAACTTCCATCACATAGCACTACAAAGCAAACTAAAGAACTACAATCCTTAAATATTTTGAAATATTAAATTTTCTTTTCAAAATAAAATATGATTTTTATTTAAAATACTCTTAACTAACAAGATGAAAAGGGGAACATGTTATTTTTTTTTTAATTTATGAAGATAGGCTTTTATACAACAATTTTCTTGAGGAAAAAAAACTTTTGCAAACATAAATCTCAAATTTTGCATCAGTAGAAAGAAACTAGATTAACTTGTTTTTCTTCATCGCAGTCCATTCAAGACATAACTAGGTGCATTAGATGTTAAAATGCAAAAGGGATGCAAACTGATGTGTGATTACATACATAAAATTTGTCTTTGTAAATTTCTTCTTAAGATGAGATAAATATGTTATATGTTAAACCTATCTATATTGTGTGCGCGCATGAAATATAATGCTAAAGGAGAAGGGGTAAGCTTTCTTTAACTCCTTTGTCAATTCAAGATTCACACGAATGAGTAAAATTAGTTTGGTAAGTAAATTATGCTTTCAGCGATTAATCATATGAATCTTTCGTTGTGATGTATTGTATTATTTTTAAAATACAATGCATAATGTGTTCATCTCTTAGAAATATATTTCTACACTTTTGTCTATTAAATATTAACATTTTAAGTGTCAAATATTAAATTTTTATGTTTAGTCTAATAAAATATTGACACAAATATTTTAATTCTTTTATAGTTTACTTTTTGAGCTAAAAATCAGACTTTTGTTAATTCATTTTTTCATTCATCTCCACTCTTCCTCTGGTTTATTGACCTTTTGCTTTTTATCTATTACAGAGTCTTCTTTAATTGTTCTACTCTATCTTGATGGATGTGGTGCTAGAATGGTTTGGTGGTTGAATCATGGAGAGGCTCATTCACATCGACTTTATGTACCTGCAAAATCAATATATTTGGAGCAAAAGCATAAATAAGGAGCTGGAAAGGTGGCAAAATCCCCCCCCCTTTGATCCAGTCTGTCATGTTTGCTTCCAAAGAAACACATATCAGAGATCAAAATGCATCTCTCAACAAATAAGCCCTATAAAACTGGCCCAAGCTAACCAAGAGGGGGGGGGGGGGGGGGGGGGGGGATGAATAGATAATTTAAAAGAAAAAAAAATTCATTTAATATATCTTTTTATATTTTTTTAAACACTAAAATTAGACAATTTCAATAATGGATACAAAAGCAAATAAATTCTTAAAAACAAAATAAATTAGAGTTTTCATCCACATAGTAAATCACATAAAAGTGTGAAAATTAAAATGTGAAAAAGTAAAAGAATGAACATACCGGGGGGTGAATTGATAACTTTTTTAAAAAAAATCATTTAATAAATCTTTTTATATTTTTTTTAAACACTAAAATTAGACAATTTCAATAATGGATACAGAAGCAAATAAATTCTTAATAACAAAATAAATTAGAGTTTTCATCCACATAGTAAATCATATAAAAGTGTGAAAATTAAAATGTGAAAAAGTAAAAGAACGAACATATCGGATTTTATAGTGTTTTGGTCAAATCTGACTTATGTATATTCCCTAGAGGCCTCCACTCCAGGTATTGCACTAAACCTTTTAGTGCCTCTCCTTTTTCCCCTATAACTAGGCCGAGAAGTCCTTACAAAAACTCTTCCACCAACATAGTGTGATAGAGTACCTTAAACCTCTTTCACTCTCCTAGTAAAGGTAGAGAACATGGAATCTTTTTTCTCCCTTAGGGAGATGGTAGAGAACCAAGAATCCTTTTACTGCTCCTGGAGTTGGTAGAGAACCAAAAGTCCTTTTTCTCCCTCCTAGAGTTGGCAGAGAACCAAGATCTATTGCTAAAGAATGTCTCCCTAGAGCCTCACAAGATTCAAAGAAGTGACCTGAAGAAGATTAGAAGGAATTTTGCTTAGAGTAATCCTGTGAAGCTCTCACAACTCCCCCTCACAAAACTCCATCTCTTCACTTTCAAAGATCTCCTCAATTCTCTCTCTCTAATCTCCCTCTCAAGCAAACTCAATAGCAAAAAGATGTCTTATAAGATAATGTAGGAATTTAAATAGAAAGCCTCCAAAGAAGCCCATAAATTTTAATTTACCATTAAGAATTGTATGGTATGATCATGAGATCATCCTGTATGATTAGTACAAAATAACACTGCCAGATAGTACAAACTACATCGTTATGTATGATCAGTTTAAGATATTATATTGATTCTCTCATATGATCCTATGATCATCCTGTATGATTAGTTTAAGAGTTTGTATTGATCATCCATTATTAGATGCAATGATGGGTGACAATTAAACATCATCCCATATATCTCTTATATATTATGATCATCCTATATGATGTGATTGAGTAATTAAACCATAATTAGTCTCCTAATTATAGGATCAATTTTGGCATGATAGTTACAAATCATCCAGTACGATGTATATCATAATATACGATTAGAGCAAAATTTGAATATTAAATATTGCCTAAATTATGATTGGCCGATGAATATTATGATTATACCTGATAACCTTGTATGATTAGGATTGTTCAGTATGATTAGTTTAATCAAAATTAATTATCAAAGGGTGCCCTACTTAGGGTTTTCTAGTTAACTAATCATCCAATATGATATAAATTGTACTATATGATTAGTTAAAAAATAGAAATTTATCTTACTCACCAAGTCACTCTCTTAATTGTGCGTGTGAAAGGTTACTCAGCTTAATATCCACCATATACACGACTTCACTCAAGAAAGGTAAAATTACATTGAAGTTGAAATTACAAACTGACTTAATATTAGTTTACCCAATCTTAAGCTAATTGAAATTACAAGTGAAAAGTGTACCTCAAATGTTAGTGAGTAGGGTAACAAAATTGATATGCAATAAATAATAGTGAGAGAACAATAATGTTTATCATCAATAAAATCATAGTACTTGGATCCAGATTTGCCATAATATCCCCTTTTTTATGATGATAAATATTGTTGTTTAGATATATTTTAATTCTTTGCTATTCTCTAATCTCCCCCTTAGAAGGTGAATTTTTGAAAGTAAGGCGAGTAAAAATTTTCTCATTTGTTTTATTTTTTTTAATATGAAATAAATACAATAAATAATTAGCAAAAATAAATATAAGCATAATAAACTAGATTCATTTAAATAAGGGTGCAAATAACTGAACAACAAATATTACTCTTCTTTTCAACATTACAAAAAGAAGGACAACTGAAAAGCAAAAGACATAAAGGTTAAAAAACACATACATCACAAAGTACATAAGTAAAGAGCAATATACACATAGGAACAAAAACATGGAGCAAACCAAAAAAGGAAGAATCCTGATAAGGTGGAGTTGTTAGTGGTGGCTAAAAGAAGCAGTGCATGGAATCAAATTGCTCCCCAAACCAAGCCATATCATTATCGTGTTGTTTCTGGTGCTGTGTTGCATAGCTTCAAAATGAGTCAGATCATTTGCATGTTGTTGCTGCTGCTTGACTACGTAGTTTTCAGAATGGGCCTCCCACTGATCAAACTGAGACTGTTGGTGGATAGGTAGAAGTGCAGGAATAGGTGCTCCCTCCTTTTCCAAAGTCTCTTTATGCATAGTGTATCGATGAGTACTATGAAGGACATGGAAGGAGCTATTGGAATAGAATACATGGAGGTGATCAGGTGGAGAAAAAAATTGAAGATTATATTTTGACTCTAGGATAAAGACAATTAGATGTCCTAAGTCAAGGTTAGGCATTCTTTTATGGTGAGGATCTTGAATGCAAGTTAGGTTTTCAAGATATCAAATGATAAGATCAGCTACATTAATTTTAAAGTTAGCCATGATATAATAGGTGGAAAATGAGGGAAAATGGGTAATGTTAATCTGATCCCTAGCGTTAGGAATGATTGAGTTAAATAGGATGTGTTGAATGACTCGGGCATCCTGGAATAATGTGTTAACTTGGGCTACATGATAGTTAACATTAGTTTCCTTAAGAATGGTGTTTGTAGGGGACAGATTATAGTCTAGATATGAGGCTAAAATGTGATTTTTGTCTTCAATAGTGGAAATGTGAAGAAATTCATGAAAGTCTTAGTAACTAATTTTATATAGGACTTTATTAACATAATATTATAGGAAAATAACCTCATTATTAATTTGAAGGCTTGCAAAAAGATCAAGTACCTGAAAGTTCAGAATCTCTTGATTGACAATTTTGGATGGGATAATTCCAAAAAATTATAATGATTATAAGCTGCTTCATCATCTTCCTCAGTAAATCTAGGATATATAGTGTGCCTAGAGGTACTACGTGCAAGTTCTTGGGAATGTTTTCCACCAGCCATTTTAAGGAATGAGCGTACAAGAGGAAAGTAATGGATGAGAGGATTGAAATGGTGTGAAGAAAGTGAAGAAACTACAACTATTTATATAGGAATTACCATATTGTATAGTACAATCTGGATGATAATGTATAATCAATTTTTCCATACCATCAGTAAAGAAATGGTGGTCTTATTAAATATTATGATTAGACAATGCACTGGATGATTAGATAGAGGGCTTTCATCCAAAGGAGTCGCCCTATAAGATCGCTGACTTATGAGTTCGCACAGTACGAACAGGTGGATAGTATTACATGATGTATTATTAAAGATCATACTAGCTAAATTCAATTCATCTAATAGTTTTGGCCTTGTGGATCACATAGTACAAAGAGAAAATCATACATTACAATCACAAATATGATAACCAATAATGGATCGATATTGGCTATTGGATGTGCAATGATTAGAGATTTGATATTTTATTCAGATCATAAAATATGATATGAATTATACTAGATGATCTGAATAAAAAAATTGAGAAGCTAGAGGATTGAATGTGATGATTAAGAAGGGTTAAAAAAAACAAAAATAACATAAAATAAATCAAAAAAATAAGGCAAAAATAACCACAAAATAAAATCAAAGTTTTTTTTAATCAATCAACTTCAGTAAATGATAAATATTTCTTGTGATTAGATTAAAAATAAGTAAGGAATGAAAAGATAATGTTGAATTCCAAAAAGGTTAGAAATTTTATTTTGTAAACCCTATCTGAAGCTCCTTACAGGTTAAATTCCTTTTTAAACAACAATCTAATTTAGAAAAGAAGTTAGATATGAAATGTAATATTTTAAAACTTCATTTTAGAATAATATTTGGTAGAAAAATATTACAAAGAAATGAATCAGAAATCATGATTTTCAAATTTAAGTGTAGGATATATGAATTGGCACATGGAGTCTTCCAAGATTTTAAAGATTTGATAGAAATGGAAGCTAATTCATAGTAGGCTCATTTTATGCATCCTTTTTAGGTTTTGGCATAAATTTCACATCTCTTTATTTTTAATGCACTTTGTGCATCTTACAATTATTTGGTGACTTTTGCACATCGTTTCAGTTTTGGGTTCATTTTGTGTCACTTTCCATTTTTGGATGCTCTCTTCCTTTTGAAATATTAAAAAAATCCTCTTAGTTACAAGATTATCTTTCAAATATGAGAGAATAAAACTTTCTCTTATATAAGGAAGAGTAAACCACAAAATAGATTCCTATCCATATGATAAATGCAGACAACTTGATTAAGAAAATTTAAAGGAGATTCATTTACTTGAAACATTACTCATATGAGATAAATGATCCTAGGAAGATGAAGTAGATCTCTATTTCAAAGTCTAACTTTTAATTTGAAATAGTTTTTGATTCAAAAAGAAAAATACACCACTAATCAATTTAGAGGAGGAAGTGAAACAATCATTAATTTTTTGTCCTTTAACTATTTTAGAGGAATCAATCATAGCTTACAAACTTCTATGCAAAAATAAGTAAAAATTATCATTTAAAAAAAGTCTAGCTGAATAAAATAATGATTAGATTCTTAAAACACTGAAGGAATATAAAATAAAATAAAAACATAACATTAAAACACATGCATAAAAACAAACAAAAAATAAAATGGTGAGAACCAACAAAGAAACATAAACCAT